CCTGTAAATTTTCAGTTCTTCCAAGGTGCTGTGATCAAGGGCGAGGTATTTACTCCTTTCCTGTCCTGCGCTCTGGTCTGTGAGGGACCACAAGCACTCTTTCCTGTCTTGGAACTGTGAGGAGGGTTTCCTCTCCACCACCACTGCAAACTCCACCACGCCAGTGTTCCTCCTCGCCCCAGGACCGCCACCTAGAACTATGACCCAGATTCAAGCACAGGCATAGCAAGAGAATCCTGCGCCAGCAGAGAAATCCCTACAATCCCTCTCTGATCAACCCCTTGATTCCCCCTCAGTCTGTGGGCCAGAAGCTCAGGAGGCAGTCGCCACCCTGGGGCCGAGCTCAGGAATGGGGCTGGGACCCTTTCCTTCTCTCTCACCACAGCAGAAGCAGGCTTTTCCCACTGACCTTCTAAATTGTCTTTGGTGTTCATGGGTTGAGAAGTCTGGAAACCGCCACAGCTGCCCACAATTCAGTCCTCTGAGGCCTGCTCCAGGTTAGCTGCGGCCTGTGCGCCCACGCCGAACTGCGTTCCCCTCCCAGCCTGGCGCGATGTACCTTTCTGATCAACCATCCAGATTATCTTGGGCTGGAAATTAGTTTCACTCTGTCTTTTTGTGGGTTCTGCTGCTTTAGAATTTGTTTAGAGCCAATTTTTATAGGTATTTGGAGGGGTTTGGGGGAGAGCTCAAGCAAGTCACTGCTTTTACTCTGCCATCTTGGCTCCGCCCCTTCCAGACATGCAATATTGTTAACATTATGATGTGCTGAGCCTCAGTTTTATAGGAGGGAAGGTGATACCTGTAGTCCCTCCCTCAGAGGGATGGTGTGAGGAGCCCCTGAGATAATGTCCATGAAATACTATTTAAACTTGAGAGGGCTCAAGCTTTAGGGTGAAGTTTAGCCTGTGGGAAGTATGGGTTCCCAAATTAGTAACTTTTTTTTTAAAATTTTGGCTAGGCAATGGGGTTCAGCTAGTAAGTGTTATGTGTCTGAGGCTGGATTTGAACTCAGGTCCTGTTCTCTATCCACTGCGCCACCTAGTTGTCCACCAAATAGATAACTTTCAGGATGCAAACTTGAATTTGTAGGCTTGGCTCTTCCCTTTTTTTTTTTTTAATAAATTTTTATTATTGATGTGATTTTAGTTTTCAGCATTCACTTCTATAAGATTTTGAGTTCTAAATTTACTCCCCCTGCCTCCACTCCCATCTCCCCAAGATGGCATGCAATCTGATGTATGCTATACATGTACAATCATACTAAATATATTTCCACTTTAGTCATGTTGTGAAAAAAGAATTAGAACCAAAGGAAAAAACCATGAGAAAGAGAGAAAGTAGAATGCTTTGATCTGCATTCAGACTCCATAGTTCTTTCTCTGGATGTGGACAGCATTTTCCCTCATGAGTCTTTTGTAATTGTCTTAGATCCTTGTACTGGTGAGAAGAGTTAAGTCTATCAGAGTTGGTCATCACATGATGTTCTCCTGGTTCTGCTCACTTCTCTCAGCATCAGTTCATGTAGATCTTTCCAGGTTTTTCTGAAGTCCAGCTGCTCATCATTTCTTAGAGAACACTAGTAGTCCATGGCATTCATATACCACAACTTTTCCAGCCATTCCCCAATTGATGGGCATCCCCTCAATTTCTAATTCTTGGCCATCACGAAAAGAATGGCTGTAATAGGCTCTGGAGACACAGCCAATTCATTTGTCCAATTTAAGCCCTTTTCCAGGTTGTACAAGTTTCTAAAGTAAATATCATAGTAGCTGTATCTTTGATCAACTTCTGTTGGCCTCCTGATCCACAGATCACTGAAGTTAGACCTGTCAGATAGGGTTTGACCTACCTATCAATTTGCTGTGCAGACCACTGAATGGACCTAGTTACCTAATAAGTGACCCTGTTCTTCTTCCCTTAGCTTTTCCCCTCTATTTCCCACCCATTCCCACTGGGTAGGTGGATGTCATGTAGCTATAAGCCCCAGATAACTGGCTATAAAACTAAACCTTGACTTTGTAGTTCAGGGTAATAATTTTGGGAGTTGTTTAGCCCATGGGGCCACTTTGCTTCCTAACCCTAACTCCATCCCTTACTGTTCCCAATCCTCTTGAGGAGGAAAATGAACATCCCAGCAATTTCCCCAAATATCCCTAGAATCTAAAGCTGCAGAGACTGGATTCTTACAAAGTTTGTCAGTTTCATGTGAGTCAATTTGCATCTCCACGTTTCAGGCAGATACCAAAGAGATGTGCTTTCTAATGAGATGTAGCCGAGGAAGGTCTCATTTGGAGATCTTTCTTGTTTCCTCTGTCTGTCCCTCTCTGTCAGCCCCATAAATCCCCCTGGTTCTCTGATGTTCCTCTTTCCTTAGTCATGCCAAGGGAGTGGGGAGAGGAGGGCAGGCAGCAGAGAGCAAAGAGCTTGTTTGCCAACCAAACTACCTTTTGGTCTTTGCAGCAATGCCTTATGTGGTCCTTGATGGAGCCTCACCAAAGAGGGCCAGGGAGATTCTCATCTACACAAGTGGAGCATAGCAGTGTTCATTCCAGCTATTCCAGTGAGACCTTTGAGTCCTTCACAGAGGAGGAGGAGGAGGAAGAAAAAGAAAAATGTCAACTGATTGCGGGGAAACCCTCTGGCTCCTTGGTCTCTTCTGAAGAATGCCAGGCCGGGTCCAGTGCCTCTGGGAGCCAACCTGTGAGCCAAAAGCTGATGCCAAGCTTAAAGGATGAAGGTATAGAAATCCCATTGGGAGGGAGCGGGAAAGGGCTGTTTGTCAGTCCATCAGTAGGTAAACATTTATTAAGCACCTCCTGGATGCCAGGCACTTTGTTAAGTAAGTTCTGTTGGCCACCCACTCAGGGTTACACTCCCACCCAGTCCCTACCTTTGCCCAATTTTTTTCTAGAGTAATGAGGGGCAACCCTGCTGCTATTGACAGATTGAGCGTGGACATCTACAACATGCAGAACTCAACAGAAGCAACCCCCTGGCTTAGCCCCCCACAAATGAAATGCTAATGATATGTGCTCACTAGTTCCTCAGAGGCCACAGGCCAAGTAGAGGTTGAAAAGTCCACACCAGGGTACATTGCTGAAGAGGGCCAGTCTATTCCAAAGAAAATACAGTGGGGGGTAGGGAAGGTCACTAGAAGTCACATGGAATGACTTCCGCAGACCTCACAGTGTATATTGGCCTTCCTCCCCACCTCCACCTGTCATACAACCCAACCTCTACTGCCCATCCTTCACCCTTCTCCTCATTCCCCTTTCTATCCCAGTTTGAATCTCTTCCTGACAGTGGCCCTCTCTGTGAGTTGTACTCACATTGGGGAGCTAGGATTGAGAGTTAAAAGGGACCTCAGAGTTGTCTCCAACCTTGGATTGACAGATGAGCAAGCTGAGGCCCACATAAGTGTAGTGACTTGTAAGAGTTCACATGGGTAATTTGGACAGGAGCTGGACTGGAACCCACATCCTTTGATATCAAATTCGTGCCTCTTTCCCTGACACCACATTCTCTCCTAGTTGACATGTACTCAGGAAACAGAGGCTATATTTAATATTTCCATACGATGAATGTAATTACAAAATCACATCTTCTCTAGGAAAATAATGAAATGCCTTCCAAGTATAGATAGAACTGATTTGGGATAATTTTCTATTTGGGATAATCCATTTCCACAGGCCATTCTTTCCATTAGCACCAGTCATTGGGATTTGTCTGTCAGGATAATTCTTCAGTGTCTCTCACGATAGAGGGGAGAAAAGAACGCTGCGGTGGCATCCCTGATAATGGACTTCAACTAAATTCAGGGTTACTTGAGCAAAGAAGCTAACCATTTCTCCATCTCCTTAGGAAACAGACAAAGAGGAAACGGGTTCATGTGGCAACTGGGGAAAGAAACTATTTGCTTGCAAGGGCTTTGAACCCTACAGTAGGCTAACAGCCAGGTTCTGAGCCCTTCATTCATCAGCCCTTTGGGCAGGCAGACTTAGGTACATTCTCTAGCCTGGAGGCAGGGCCTGAGATGAGAGAACTTGAAAAAAAAAAGAGAAAGAAAACAAGGACGGTTTTTTCCCCTTGCCACCACCCGAGTGACATCTCCCCATCCTCAATAGCACCTTGCCTGGGAATGGAAAAGTATGGTTCAGCAAAAGAAACCAACAGGTTAGCCATTTCTAACAGCATGTTTGTCATTCTGGGCCTCTGTTTTTTTTGCCACCTCTCCTGAGTGGCAGGAGCCTGCTTCTTTCTCAGTCCAAGTAGTTGGCCTCCTGCAGCACTTTCCAATTCTGGGGTTCTATGAAGGGCTCCTCCTCCCTTTGTAGCCAATGAGGGAGCTGTCCTAAACGATGCTGGTTGTATTAATTTTTATTATGTCCCAAATAGGAGATTGAAGTGCGATTTAGTGCCTGGGATCAAGTGTATTTATGTGGTCTCATCACTGGGTAAGGAGTCCTCAAGAAGTTAAGAGTTTCCTCCTAATAGACAGTGCCCTACATGAGGTCATCCTCGGGAGGCAGGGCAGAACCCTAACCCCCCAAGTGTTTCTTCCTTAGTCTCTTCTTTATAATCCTTCAAATTTGGTTGTTAGAAATTCCTGCCATGGTCCTTGAAATAAAGCATGAACAACAAAGCATTTGTTAGGTGCCTACTATGTGCATCTCATTGTAGAAAGTACGCATAGCAAAGCAAACCAGACCCTGCTCTCCAGGGGCTCACACTCCAAGAGGCGGAGGCCGCCCAGAGGGGTTGATCAGGTTCAGAGCACGTTGAAAGGCACTTTGGTCCTTAGGGTGCAGAGGTAGGCTCGTGGTGCTGCATCTTCTTTAGTTTCATCAAACTAATGATAATTAATACCTTATGGGCTTCTGATGTTGAACCACTGGATGGCCTCAAAGACTGTGCTGGCAAGAGTCTTCTTTGTGAGGTGTTCAATGGCTTGCCCTTTACCACAGTCAGCTAACGTTTCACTGTTCCAATTTAGATGAGCCGTTGAAGCCATTGGACTCTGCTGCTCTAGAAAGGAAATTGAGTCCAAAGTGGATCCAGCTTCTCAAGGGCAAAGAAAGTCACATTGGACAGCCCCAGGCAGGCCCCGTGTCCCAAGCAGGTAAGCCTGTACCCTGAGTTAGTAGTAACCACCTCCTTCTCTGACTGCTTTTTTGAAAGCTGTGTGACCATGAACAAGGTCCCTAGACTTTCTGAGCCTCAGTTTCCTTCTCTGTAAGACAGACATCATGGTTGCACTGTCTGCCTCTCAGGGGTGCTGTGACCAAAGCCTTTTGTAAACCTCCAAGTGTTATATCAATGCAAGTATTTTTTATTGTCCTGGTCAGCCAGCCAGGGCCTTTTTTTTTTTTTTTTTTTTTTTTTTTTTTTGAAAGTGGAAGGAGGTCGCCAGAGAGGATGCCCTACATCTTCTTGTTTTGCTGGGACAAAATGCTGAGGTTTTGGCCTTCTTGCCCTCTCCCCAAAAGGCAGAACTAGAGGAAATGCTCCAGGAAAGACTGTAGAGGCACTGTGGAGGTGTTTTCCTTTTTGCCTGCACAAGTAGAGGTTTCATTGTCATCATGATCCATCCCTTCTGAGGATTTCCATTTGGATGAGAGGGTAGCAGAGAAGGGCACGGGGAGGCGGTGGTGATGAGGAGGTCTGGGAGGCCCAACTCCTCAGCCAGTGTTTTTTCCACTGCTTTGGGGAGTGCAGAAGGAAGGTGATTTGCCTCTGATTTTTGCCCAATCCAAGCTCTTCCCTCCGCACCAGCTCTTCTGTCTGTCAGACCCAGGACTTGAACCTATCTAGGCCTCCTCATGTTCCTTACTCTGCACTACAGTGCTGCCTCTACTGGCACCCAAGTCCTGGGTTCACATAGCATTGCATTTGGAGACTGAGGCCTTGGGTTCAGTTATCAGGAGCACTGTGATGAAGTAAAACGAGGCCTGGTGCTCGAACCCAAGAGATCGGGGCTCCAGTCTTGGCTCAAACACATAATTGAGCTGTGGGGAGGGAACCCCAATGCAAATGTTAGCTAGTGTATCTTGTACCCTAGGCCCTAGTCAGTGGTCCAGGGAGACCTGCTTTTGTCCACTTGGAAGCAATCTTTATTGCCATCAAAGTGCTCACCCTCACCCTCACCCCTAGGGGTGTCCTTTGACCTCGTGCTTATGTTTTGGACCAGCTTGATTCACGATTAAATCGCCTTAGTTGAACGAAGAATATGATTGGTGAGTCTTTGGAAAGCACCATTTGTCACTTGGTGCCTCGTTTTCTCCATCTGTTTTGTTCTGGGTAAATGTCAGGTATGCTCATTCCTGCTGTGCATGACAAAACCAGATAGTGAATTTTGAAATGGATAGCTTTGTTCTGTTCAGTTTTCAACAGAATAAGGGCACTTGCTTCCAGCAAAAGAAAACTCACATTGCAGTAATTATCTTTCTTGACTTCCGTCTCTCTGACCTGAAGTGATATTAAGTAGATAGATGCTCATTAGAAGGCATCACCTGTTCTTTATACCTGCAATGGTGCCACCAACCCTACCTCCACCGTGGCTGGAAACAACACTTCATTTATCAGAAAAAAGCAGGGTTTGCTTGTGTGATTCTTGCAAACGCTAAACATTTAGATTTGGAAACACAAAAGAAGACCTATGAAAATGAAGGTGTGCCCAGGTATGGCAGAGTGAAATTTAAGGTAGAGCCCAGAAGTATCCCATATGTCCTCTTCGCGGACACACTTTGACAGTTTTGAGCTAGAAGGTACCTGGGAAATCATCTGATCCAATCCTCTTGTTTTACAGAGGAGAAAACTGAGGCCTGAGAAGTTCAGTGACTGGCTTATGGTCAGGTAGATACTAGGTAGCTGAACCAAGATTTGAACCCGGGTCTCCAACCTTGGAATCCAGTGTTCTTTCTGCCAGTTGTCATCCTCATATCAGTGTGTGGGCCTTTATCCCTTGTAGCTGAAAATATTACAGTACTGTTGTCCTCTCAAGATGCATTTGATTTCATTAATTTTCTGCTAGACAGTCCTGAAAATGGTCCCTTTGGGGAGCCCAGTTTTTGGTACAATTCTCACATACATCTGCACAGTCTTCGTCTACGTTTGGTTTGATTTTTTTCTCCTAGTTTCTAGTTATATTGACCACCAGAAAAGTTAGTTTTCTGCTCCTCTTTTGCATGAGGATATTTGGTTTCATTCTTTTCACTTATTGTGCCCCAGATTGCATTTTCCTGTCGGTTTGTTAGAGTCAGTAGATATTTATTAGGCACCTACTATGTGCCAGGCAGTCTGCTAAGCCCTGGGGATACAAAAAGAGGCCACAAAAAAACCATCCCACCCCTGAAGGACTTCACAGTTTGCTGAAAGAGATGAAAAGTGAACAGATACGTATAAAACAAAGATACAGGACAAATAGGAAATAATTAAGCGGGAGGGTGGCACTAGGATTAAGAGAGGTTGGGACAGCCTTTCTGAAGATGTTGGGAGTTGAAGGAAGCCAGGGAAGTCAGGAGGTGGAGATGATGAGGGAGAGGCTTCCAGGCGTGGGGGACAGGCAAAGATAATGACCCTAGGTGGAAGATGGAGGGTCGTGTTGGCAGAACAGCCAGGAGGCCAGGGTCACTGGATGGAAGAGGCACTGTTGGTCAGTAAGGTGCAAGGAGATGGACAAGGCAGGAGAGGACCAGGGCAGAGGCAGCATGGTATCCCTGGAGTGAAGTCAGGAGTTCTGAGTGCTATATGACCTTAGACAAGACATTCAATCTAACTTGGTACCAGATTCCTTCTCCTTAAAACCATTGCCTCGGTGATGGCTGACATCCATTTCATCCCTATATCTTGTCAATCTAAGTGATTCGAAGGCCTCCAACTTTTGTTGCAAAGAATGTACAGAGAGTAAAATGCAGTCCTTTCCAATTCCCTTTTCTTCCCCTAACTCTAGCCAATGTTGTAGAGATAGAAATATACATAGACAGAAAACTCCCTGTCCTTTTAGACTAGACATATGGAAGGAAAGAAGTCAAAGCCCAAGACAGAGGTCCTATATCCACATGAGACTATTCACAGCAGTACTTTTGTGAGAACAAAGTGGGTTATCTGTGCCCACTGATGGAGAAATGTCTGAGAAAGCTCTACCAGATGTGCCTAACCTAGGATTCCTGGGAAGTAAGACGGGCCAGCTAGGAGGAATTCAGAGAGATATGGGAGCATGGCTGTGAGCTAAAGACAGCAGGCATCAGTTAACCAAGATTATTTAAAATGCTTCCTTTAAAACGTGAGAGTAGCCTTTGAAGTGAGGGAGTTTTCATTCCCTGGAGTTTTGGGGAGGTAGATTTTTGCCAGGAACGTTTTAGAAGAAATTTGTGCTTCAGGCAGGGGTGGAATTAGATGATTTCTGGAGGCCCTTCCAGCTCTGAGAGTCATAGGATTTTTCAGGTGCAAGAGAAGAAACTCTGTTCTCTGCACCTCTAGCCAATGTCTGCGAGAGACAGTTTGTTGATTTTTGCAAGCATTCCTGCTTGAGGGGAGATCCCAATGAGCCAAGTTTCCCCTGCTAATTGAAGTTTCTTTTTCCCCATCCAATGTCCGCTTCCACTTTCTAGTTATCCTGAAACAAAAGACAGCATTCCTAGCACAGGAGAAAACAAGGTGCGGAACTGAGGTTGAGGGGTCCTTTCTTCACTTCAATGGAACGAGGGTCATGTCAGCGCTGGTGCACCCTTAGAGAGATGTGTTCCGCAAACCAGTTATTCCCTCAAGGATTCCCGTTTCAGCCTAGCCAGAGAGGACCACTCTTAGTTCAGTTATTCAGAAGGTATGCCCACTCTTAGCTTGGTCACCTCCAAGAAAACAGACTTGCTGTGTAATCTTAGTTTGGGAAAAGAATGAATGAATGAAGCAAGGATTATTGCAGAAGGACTGATGAGATCTTGATTCAAATGAGACCAAGGCTGTCAGATTGGGACAGTGATTTCTTGACATTCTGTCACACTTCTAGCAGATCTGTATAGGCACTTTAGCCACCTTGTTACCTAGTCACCTTATTCTGAAAATGGGGAAACTGAGGCCAGAGAGGGAAGTGCCCCTTGATCCCCCAGATAGTGGTAGAGCCACGATTCAAACCCGGCTACTCAAAAGACTCAAGATACAGTGCCCCTCTGGTGATTTCCCTTCTCCCATGCCCTCTCATTCTTGGAAATCTGTTGTTTTCTCTTCTTTCCCTTCCTATGTGATCAAGACAGAAAGTGGTGGAGATAGAAAAGAAGTAATTCTTCCTTCACCTAGTCGAGTAAGTGCCGTTTCTGTTTTGTGCATGTGTTGTTGACAGACGTCATGGAGGCATCAAAGAGTGAGCAGGACGCTCTGCAGGCTTTTTGTGCCAGGAAGATAAACCTGCTGCGTCATCAGCTGAGCCCTCAGGAGACACACGGCAGCAGCCAGCAGAGGCAGCGGCAAGGCTTGGATGCAGGGAAGCGAGTGACAGATGAAGTGAACAACTGTGTTGTTCCTCGTCAGCTGATAAACAGAGTCTCTCAGCAAAACCTGAGGGCAACACCCAGCAAGGTACAGAAACTGGAGCGTGTCCCATAAGCTTTGGAAGCTGCTCAGAAAAGGAAAGTCTTCTCCTGACATATTTCTTCTAAAGGAGACCCATGTTTTCCCACAGCCACCGGGATCCTGTGGCATTGTGTTTGATGAATAGCAAAATCAGGCTGGCAGCCAGGCAGGTGGGGGTGAGGCAGTACCAAGGAAAGCCAGCCCCCAGTGTAGTGGAGGGAGCTTGGAGTCAGGAGTGAATGCCCGATCTCTTCTTGCTCAGGGTAGGGAAGGGAGGAAAGTGAAGCCAGAGTAGTGGTGAGAGCCTAGAAGAACACTGAGGGCTGGGGGCCGGGAGATCGTCGTGAGGATGAAAGGTCTGGGAAAGGAATCGTTACCAGCAAGACTAGAGCAATGGAAATGGGAACACCCCCAAACCCCAGAGTGAGCTCTGTGTAATTGAAACCCCGAGCTCGGCCCAGGAGAGGTGAGACATTGTAGCCCCTGCCTTCTTTGAGGAGGTGGGAGGCTATCAGTGGGTAGAACATCGTACAGGTCCTGTCGGACTCACGTGAGGTGCAGGAGAGTTTTGCCACACTGCTTTTGAACCCCTTTTTTTAGCCCCTGTTCCAAGGGCCACCTCTGTGGGAAGGAGAGGAGGAAATGAAGGTTGTATAAAAGCAGAGGATACCAACAAAGTGATTTTCAAGGGCCAGAGAGCCATCAGGGGGAAATTCTTTTAATAACTTTGCCTGGAGTAGTGAGGAGTGAGTGGGTAGGAGCCATAGGAAGAAGTGACCTCCCCATCTTAGAAACGGGGCTTCTTAAAAATAGGTTGGTTGGTTTGTTTGTTTGTTTGTTTGTGAGACTGAGTCTCCCTATCTCTCCTAGACTGGAAATACACTGACCACTCTCTGGACTGATCCCACTGCTGATCATGCCGGGGACTGCGACCTGTTCCATTTCTGACCTAGGCCTCTCCTTAGGCGGCCTGGTGGCCCCTTGCTCTTGGGGGTTCACTGTATTAGTGCCAGACTTAGTGTTGACAACTGGTTGGCCTAAGCCCTAAGGCACAACAGGCCAGAACTCCTGAGCTCAAAGGATTCACCAGCCTCAGCCTCCCTCATATCAGGTTTACAAGTGTGGGCCACCACTCCCAGCCATCCTGGAATTTGTGGGAGAGAGGAGGGCGATGTCAAGTCACGGCTGATATGCACCCTAGAATTGGTAAGGGCAGGGTGCATTGCCAAGGAATCAGAGTGATCAGTAGGGTAGCAAGGACTCAAGTTCTGCTTTAGGAAGCTCTCAATAAATTCTGAAGGCACAGAGAAAACCATTTTGCTGAGGAATGGGGGGGGGGGGGGGATATTGTCCAGAGAGAACAATGTGAATCCATAGATACCTCACTCGTCATCCACCATGGATCTTCCACAGGGAGCAAGGACACATAATAGAGAAGGCCTAGACAAACATAGTACATCTCTGTATGAAGAGTGTTAAGAGGCTCAAAGCTGAGAATGAACTAAGGCCAGGAAGTCAGTCTAAGGACCTTGGAGAGGTTTTTTGTTCTCTTTCTGTTTAGGGTGTATCATATGCTCCGGTGTGCTTAGACATTAGCTTTAAATCTAAATTTAGTAAAGCATTTGTTTCAGGCAGGCCCTCATTTTTTTTCCTCCTGTAGGGGAGAAATGGGGAAGCGCTGGTCAGATATGAGTCCAGTTTGGTGGATTTCGAACTGGCTGAATAGCAGGGAGTCAGGCATTTTGGAGGATCTCGGGATCTGTTGGTGGTCAACATTTTCCTGAAAGCCTTGGAGAAAGGCCCAGATGGCATTTTTGTCAATTGTGTAGATGACCAAGCTGTCAGAGGTAGTGCACACATTGGATGAGAGGATGAGGATCCCAAAGGAACCTAATGGGCTGGAAGGCTGAGCTGAGTCTAGTCAGTCAGTCAGCCAGTAAACATCCATTAAGCACCTTCTATGTGCCAGGTATTGTACTAAGCCCTGGGGATATGAAAGGAGGCCAAAGGTGGTGTCTGCCCTCAAGGAGCTCACAATCTAACGGAAGAGACAGTAAAGCAAACAAATTTGTACAAAGAAGCTGTGTATAGGATAAGTAACTAATGATGACCAGAGAGAAGGCACTTGGATTAAGAGGGGCTGGGAAAGGCTTCCTGTTGAAGGTGGGATTTTGAAGGAAGCCAGGAGTCAGAGTATGAGAAGGGTAAACATTCCAGGCTTGGAGCACAAGCTGAAATTATGCCCAGCACCATGATTTCATGTTGTCTTCTTGTTGGAACAGCAAGGAGGGCAGGGTCCCTGGCTCAAAGGCTGCAAATGGGGAATAAGGTGGAAGAAAACTGGAAAGGTAGTAGGGGCCTAGATGATGAAGGGCTCTGAATGCCAAATGTAGGATTTTGTATGTGATCCTGGGCCAATAGGGTGCCAGTGGAGTTCATTGAACAGGGAGGGTGGTGATATGGTGAGGCTTGTGCTTTAGGAAAATCTGTTTGTTGGCTGAATGGAGGATGGATTAGAGTGGGAGAGACTTGAGGCAGGCAGACCCAGCTGCAGGCTGTTGCAGTAGCCCAAGAGTGAGGTGATAAGGGCCTGCACCAGGGGTTGGTCTATCAGAGGAAGGGGTGAGACTCTGCAGCCTCTAAGTACCTTTCAGACTAGGAGATTTTGGCATTTTGTTTGTTTCCAGGAAGCTTGCCACTAATCTCAGACGTATACACACGCACGCACACACTCGCACGCACACACACTCCCACACACACACACCTAGGATGTACCTTGACTTGACAACTCCTCAGTTCTTGGATGGATGATAACAAAGTCCTATTCCTCTGAAGGAAATTAAATCCTAGCAGAAAGTGTGTGCGAGGATGTCAAATATAGTCTGCTGCCAGCCCCCTTGTTCCCTTTTTGGTGGTTCAGTGAAGAGCGTACTGGACCTGGGGGCAGGAAGACCTGATTTTCACAATGCAGGCTCAGACACTCAGTGACTGGGTGACCCAGGCAAGTCACTTTACCTCTGTCTGCCTCAGGCTGCTCAACTGTAAAGGGAGGATAATGGTAGCCTCTACCTCCCCACCTCATGAGTATAACATGGGATAATATGTGGAAAGTGCTTTGCAAACCCTCAATGCTCTATGAATGCTGGCAGTTGTTATTAATCATAGGCAATATTTCCAATTTGTTTCTCTCTCAACCCCAGCCTTAGATTCAGGGACGTAGGTCACCGTCTCATCTCTGCCCCTGCACTAGCTGTGTGACCCTGGCTGATGCAGTTTCCCTCACTTTCCACATTTGTCCAACAGGGAAACCCGCTCTCCTAACTTGACAAGATAATGGTGGGGATTAATGTAGCAAAAGTCCGTTTTCACCATTAGGCTCCATAAAGATGTCAGTTCTTGTTGCTCTTTCTTCTTCCAAGTATGTGTATTGACCGTTCCTTTCAGAAAGGAATTGGATACCAACAGGACTAGGGCTAATGGCATCTGGTAATTTCTTCCTCCAATTTCTCATTTCAAGGCATCAGCAGTTAGAGAGCACAAGTGCTCCCAGTGTCCAGAGTGTACTGAGAAAAGAGGAGAGCTGTCCCAGCTGACCTTTCTGCGCCAGAAAAAGACCTTCCTCGAGTCCACTCTACTCAAAGAGAAGATGGAGGAGCATCACCACACCGAAGTTAGTGACTCCTCTGCACAAATTGGTAACAGCCCATGTTTCTGGAGAGTTTGAAGGCTGGCAAGGAGCTTTCCTCACAAGCTTCTGTGAAGTAGCCGGCACAAGCAGTCACACTGTCCTCCTCGTTTAATGGTTACTGTTTATTTATTTTCCATATGCTTTTCTTCATAAATTGACTTGCAGCTTCTCTCCCCCACCCCATTGAGAAGGCAAACAATACGATATCAACTGTACGTATGAAATCATGCAAAACATAGTTTCCTATTAGCCGACTCTCCAAAGGAGCAAAAAACATCTCAGTGGCTGCTGTGTCCTTGCTTATTCAGTGTTTTTGCATCAGTATTTATTAAGGGATATCTCTTTAGGGTTCTTTCTCTGTCCCTCTTTGGTTTGGATAACAAGGTCATACTTGTCTCATAGAAGGAGATTGGTGCCTTCATCCTCTGTTCTTGAAAATAGTTTCATAGGAGCATAGAGAGGTGATTTGCTTTTGAATGTTTAATACAATTTACTTGCAAATCTATGTGGTCCTGAAGGTTTTTTTGTCCCCCCCCCCCCGTGGGAATTCATGTATAGGTTGCTCAATTTCTCTTTCTGTGATTAGGTTGGTTAGGTTACCGGTTAATTTCATTTTTCCCTTTTCTTGAAATATAACTGAGTACAGTAGTTTCAGAGAAATTTCTTTATTTCTCTGCTAATCATTGTGAATTCCTCTCATTTCATTTTGATTTTGGTAATTTGGTTTTCTTCTCTCCCTTTCTTTCACATTTTGTCAAATTAGTTATTTAAGGTTATCAAATGTATTTTTGTCATTTGGTCTTTCAGCACACAAGGCCCTTCTATCCTCCACTATCTCTCTGAGTTTTTCCAAGTTCATGTTTGTTGTTTCCATGACACTGTGTATCCATTTCATCCTCTGCCTTCCCCTTTTCCTTTTGTCTTTCATCTTTCCCAACATCAAGGTCCTTTCCAGTGGGTCTTGGCTTCTCGTTATGTGGCCAAAGCATTTAAGCTTCAGTATTTGACCTTCCAGTGAATAGCCTGAATTTCTTTATGGGCTGATTTGATTTCCTTGCTGTTCACGGGACTCTTAACAGTCTTCTCCAGCACCATGATGGGAAAGTGTTGATTTTGCAGCATTCCGATTTCCTTGTACTCTAGTTCTCACATCCTTACATTGGTACTGGAAAACCCATAGGCTTGATTATGCCGACCTTTGTCAGCAAGGGGATGTCTCTGCTTTTTAGAATGCTGTCCAGAGTCACCATAGCTTTCCTTCCAAGGAGCAAACATCTTTTAATTCATGGCCGTAGTCACTGTCTGCAGTGATCTCTGAGCACAGGAATAGAAAATCTGACTCCTGCTTTCATTTCTTCATCCTCTCTTTGCCTGAGAGTGATGGGACTAGTTGCCAGGATCACAGAAGTTTTGATGCTAAGCTTCAAGCCAGCCTTTGCACTCTCCTCTTTCACCTTCATCAAGAGGCTTCTCAATTCTTCCTCATTCTCTGCCATCAGAGTGGTACCGTCTGCATATCTGAGACTTGATCTTTCTCCTGGCAGCCTTAATTCCAGCTTTTAAATCATCCATCCTGGCATTTCACGTGACGTCTTCTGCATGTAAGTTAAATAGATAAGGGGATACTGTGCAGCCTTGTCATACTCCTTTTCCCATCTTAAACCAGTCAGCTGTTTCACGTTCGTTTCTAACTGTTGCCTTTTGGCCCACATACAGGGGCCAGTCAGCTGATCTGCTATTTCCCTGTCTTTGAGGACTTGCAACATTATGTTGTGATCCACACAGTCAGAGGCTTTGCCATGTCCTCATACAAGTGCCAATGAAGACCTGAACTGTAACTTGGAGTCTTTAGAGAGTCACCTGGGTCCCTGAGAGTTTCAGTGACAGGTCACACGTGTCAGAGGCAGGATTAGAACCCAGGTTTCCCTGAATCCCAGGCTTGCACTCTCTCCCTGACCTTGTGCTGCTTTGTTGCATGCCCCTCAGGTCATTAGTATTCTCTTACTCTTTTGTTGATAGAAACATGTTCTAAGATATAAATTTTCCCCTAGTGAGCATTGGAGTCACAGCCCATAAACATTCTTATTATATTATGTCGTGGTTACCATTCTCTTTAATGTTGTTTTTTGTGATTGGGTCTTTGATATCCCCGTTGTTGAAACCATCACGTTTCATCTCCCGTTTAGGCCTTTTTCTTCCTACGTCCATTTTTTTTCGTACAATTTTCGTCACATTACAGAAAACAAAGGATATTATTAAGACTTATGCTTCTTTTGTGTCTGAATTCTTCATGCCTTAGCAATTTCTGCCTAAGTCTCCTTGGAGTCTGAAAACTAAGTATATGCTCTAAGATTCTCACTCAAAATCTCCATATCCCCCCCTTCCCTGCCCCAGTCAAATCCAGTTTTCTCAACATTCTGCTCAACTGTGTAATTTGATTCTTGTTTATCTTTTTTTTTTTTTTTTTTTTTTTTTTTTTTTTTTTTTTTTTTTTT